CTCCTACCCTTCCCCCTTTCTTTCACTATCTCGTATCCCGGCTTCCTTTCTCACTCACTCGTTTCTCTTGTTGTTGTTTTTACTTATCCTCTTTAATTGTCCCTCACATTTCGTCTTTAGTACTCTCTCACTCATTCATATCCTCCCTCTTGCTCTCATACACACACACACACACCACACTCACACCACACACACACACACACACTACACACACATCACACACACACACACACACACACATGCCACGCACGGCACGCACGCACGCACCACGCTACGCACACCACACATACACCAAAAAAAACCACAACCAACACCACACACAAACACACACACAGCACACATATGCCATTTCATCCTACGTATTTACTATCGCTGCCTTCCCGTCTCCGCCGCTCTAATCTCATCTTCCTTTTTTATGCTGACGCTATATTTTGTCTCTGTCCCTTCTGTCTCTCTCATCGCTCTCTCTTCTCTCTCTCTCTCTCTCTCTCTCTCTCTCTCCTCTCTTTCTCTCTCTCTCTCTCTCTCATCTCTCTTTTCTCTCTCTCTCCTTCTCTCTCTCTGGCTCTCTATCTCTCGCCTCTCTCTCTCTCTCTTTCTCTCTTCTCTCTTTTTCCTTCGCCCTCTCTCACTATCTCTTGCCTCTCTCTTCTCTCTCTTCCTCTCTCTCTCTCTCTCTCTTCTCTCTTTTCGCCTCTCTCACGTATTCCTGTCCTCTCTCTCTCTCTCTCTCTCACACGTCTCTCTCTCTCCTCTCTCGGCGTTCTCCTCTCGCTCTTCCCTCTCTCTCTCTCTCCTCTCTCATCTTCTCTCTCTCTCTCTCTCTCTCTCTCGCGCTTCCCTCTCTCTCTATCTCTCTCTCTCTTCTCTCTCTCTCTCTCTTCTCTCTCGCATCTCTCTCTCGCTCTCCCATCTCTTTCCTCCTCCTCTCTCTTCTTCTCTTTCTTTCTCCTTCTCCTCTATTGCGTCTCCCTTTCTGTCTTTCTTCTCTCTCTCTCCCTGTCTCTTCGCCCATCTCCTCTCCCTGCCGCCCTCTTCTCTCATCTATCTCTCACCCCTCTTCAATCACTATCTCTCGCCCTCTCCCCTATTTCTTTACGTCTCTCTCTCTCTCTCATCGCTCGCTCTCTTCTACTTCTCGCTCTCGCTCTCCCTTTTGTTTCTCTCTCTCACTTTCCTGCTAATTATTTGTAATTACTATTTCATATAGCAGCGTTGCCGTACGCATGTGATACACGTGATTCATATACCAATAACCATAATTACATCGTTGTTGTGTCCCATATACACTCCCACGATTATCACTATAGCGCCAGATTATAATAAGCTTGCGTGTATTTCACTATTCCTTATAGACTGACTTTAATTAAGAGACTAGCCTTGCTCAGTTCGGAGAACATTGCTATTCGAAAGACTAATGTGACTTTAGAAAATTCACTGCGGTATGTTGTGAGGGCTTCTCATCCTTATTTACCCCACGTAGCTTCACTCGTGGGCCGCCGAGATTCCCACTGAGGTCCATCTGCATATATATATATATATATGTATAATAGGATTACGAAGATTTTTTTTGTAATGATCTAATGTAGTTTCTGACTATCTGAAGAATTCAAGATACCTAAATCCTAATGCTACATGGTTGCGTATTATGCCTACAATATGAGTTTTCGCTCCTCTTTTATTATAACTCTAACTAAACTATAACTATATATATAAATACATATATATAACTATATATATATAAATTGACTCCGACTTTCGCAGTCTCTTTCGTTTATTTTCTCTCTCCCTCTTTTCCCATTCTTTCTCCCTGTTCTCTTGCTATATCTTCCCACGTTTACATTCATCAGTCTCTCCCATCACCCTCTCGTCTCCCCCTCTCTCTTGGGGTCTTCGACTCTCTCGCTCGCTCGCTCTATTTCTATCTCCCATCGCCACCTCCCTCCTCCTCTCACTTCCTCTCGATAACATCTCTTTATCTTTCGCTCGTTAATACTGCGCACCTGCCCGGTGCTTCTACAGTGGCTGCGCGTGTAACACGCGGGTACCTGACCGCCCGACTCTCGCCTCCTCTCCATCGCCGCGTCTATTTTTAGAGCGCTACATTATAGATTTTTGCCACGTTCGGGGATGATGGTGTGCACTGGTGATAGTAGTGGTGGAGGGAGGTGGAGAGAGGGTCGTTTCGACGAGCAATGCGCTCGAGATGACGATGGCAGACACCCACACAAGCACCAGCAGCAAGCAGCAAGCAGCAAGCAGCAGCAGCAGCAACCTGCGCTATAGCAAGCATTGCTTCAGTAGCACGGCTTCACCAGATGGCTTCACAGCTTCCTCGATGGCTGCGTGAGCTCCACAGCTCGCCACCGCTCGATTTCTTTCTCCCCCTTTTTAGCTTAAGCGCGTGTGAGGATAGGGGCCTCAGCAGCCTACGTTGCTTTGATTTTATTAACTCGCTAGAGAAAGCTACTCGCTGCCATATGCGGCGCGAGGTTGATAGCCTCACGTCGGGTTCACCTCGTCACCTCAAACAAAGCAAAACATCGCCCGACGCGCTCTTGATCAGTCGATGATCGATCGCCATGATCATCGATATCGGCGTGACGACGGCGGCGGCTGCGCGTGACGTGTAGCGATTGACACCTCGTCTCCGGTGACGTGACCACGCCCCTGCTGCACACCGATCTATCGAGACTGAGGTGAGAGTGATCACGCGAGAGACAGGTTGAGCGCGGGGGAGGTCCGCTGATCGTCACGCGAATCGCCCTGAGATACCACATCTGTCTGCGGGATGCGCGGCGATTCTACGCAGTCACGCGGCGTGTACACGCGGTGCACGGGGGGCACACGAGACAGGGACGCCAGAGGGCCATGAGGCGGTCGGGGAGAGGTCGGGGAAGTGATCGGGGGGAGGGAAGATGCGGGGAAGAGGTTGGGGGAGAGGGGAGGGGAGAGGTCGGGGAAGGGGTCGGAGGGGAAGAGGAGGGGTCGGGGAGAGGGAGGGGAGCGGCCGTAGAAAACGTCGGTGAGAGGCCGAGGGATGGGTCGGGGGAGTGGCCAGGCAAGGACGTGATCCAAGGGAGGGCCGGGGATGAGACAGGGGAGCGGACGGGGAGAAATTCAAGGGAAGGGCCGAGGAGGAGTAGGGTAGGCGCCAGGGGTGGAACCGGGTGGTGCCGAGAAATGGACCGGAAGAGGGATGACACCGGGGCAAAGAACCAGAATGGGCTGGAAAAGGTGGAGAAGCCAAGAAGGAAGGGGACGTGGGCAAGACGCTTCGTGTGGATATGGAGTCATACGCCCACGTACTGTGGCAAGGGTTAATGTACAGAACAAGTAAGAGTGGCAGGGTGTGATACTATATATTTTAATTTATTTATTTATTCATATCCTACTTGTCCTTACTCAATCTTTCTTCTTGCTGATTTACCCTTATTTATACCGCTTTATCTTTATTTGCTGTAGTTATTTACCATGTGCACACTGCAAGTTTCTCTTTCAATGCGGTGCACCACATACATACTAGTCAATGCAAATATTATCTCTTCAATGGATGCGTTCATTACTTACTAGGGTTAAACCTCTCTTCCTAAAAACTACCAACCCTTAAAAGTATTGAACAAGACCGGAACATTGGGAGGAACATGCATCTACTCACTTTCTTCACATCGCACGTCGGTAGCGTACTCCTATATCTTACCTGTCACATGCCGACAACGACTCCCCCACCCCCATCATACTCCTATCTCTTACCTGTCACATGCCGACAACGACTCCCCCTCCCCCATCATACTCCTAT